ATGTATAAAATCTAAATACCTCAATTGCATGTTGCACGGTAGAGTTTTTTATAATTGAAGAGTAACTAGACCAAGCAATTAGAAGCGCCTTTTTTGTTTCTTTTTTCTTTATCTTTACTATTCAGGAGCTAAAGTTCACCTTTATCCTCTTTCAATTTTTTAAATCTTGCTATATAAGTTTGTTGCCCAAAGCCTAACACATAATTGAATTCCCAGAATTAATCAAATTTGTATGTCAGTACATGAGATGTACATCAGATGTTGGTTCTTTTAAGCATACCTCAGATCAGGTGTTTTGTTTGTTATAATCTTAGGAAAGAGTTCCTAAACCACTATACAAAATAATACTCCTATATTATCCATATACAAAATTGTGACATTCTTAATAGATGAGATAAGAGTAGCCAAATATTCTGGATTAAGTTCAGGACCAAGCTAGACAGCACCTGGAAAGCTGGAACATCCCACTTGCCTTTGTTCTATTGGTTCCGATGATGTCTATTCCATTTTATTTGAATAAATTCTTACTCGAAAACCATGTTAATGACAAGAAATGTCTATGTGTATAGTTAGAACTCTAGGATACATCTTTCTTTAGCAATTTGGTTCTCAGGCATGCTATGTTCCAACTTCAGACAAAAGGTAGGGCCTGATGTCTTGATCTTAAATGGACTAAAGATATGAATACTTTGAAAATTAGTTGGAAGGCAAAACCAGGTTACTTTAGGAGCTATTGTCTTCCCTTGGTGCCCACAAAATAACTCTTTACTATTGATAGGATTCTCTGAGTTGCCATTTGGCCTATATAAACACATTCAAAGAATGACTACTACCACAGCTCTCAGTTTAAAACATTCAAAGATTATTTTTCTGCTTTTGAGGTCTTTAGTAGTTCTTCTTTTCCTTCTTTGCTCTAATACATTAAAACGAAAAGATCATGGCTATTCGTATGCCTCGTATAATCAAGAAGTCTTCCAAAGCTGGAGATGTTCCAAAGGGCCATTTTGCTGTTTATGTTGGGGAGAAGCGAAAGAGGAGGTTTGTGATCCCCGTAGCATTCTTGAACCAACCTTTATTTCAAGACTTGCTTAGTCAAGTTGAGGAAGAGTTTGGCTTTGACCATCCTATGGGTGGTTTGACAATTCCTTTCAGTGAGGATGTGTTCGTTGATCTCACGTCTCGCTTGAGGAAGTGAGAAGGAAATCAACCAGTCACCAGATTTTGCTACTTAATTTTGTAAAGTAGGATCTCCAGAGTGTACAGTTAGAAGAAACGGTAATTTGATGTTAGAATGAGGAGAGATACCATTCTCTGACTAGGTAGACTAATGAATTTAGCTCCATATTGAATGGATGCCATTACTTTATTCTCATGACTAAGGACACATTTTTCTACTTCAAAAGAAATTGAAGTAATGAACCTTTGTACTTCTATGGTTCCAATCAATTCCATATATTAATGGAATAATTCATCGCAATTTAAATTCTTGGTCAACTTTCTTGGTTTTGTAAATGCACCCGAATGCAATAGAAAAAATATTTTGAAGGTGTGATAAGAGCTACCATGTTTACCATTTGGCTTTCCAATTAGCTGTGTAGCTTAGGAGTGTGAAAACATCTTTTTCTTTCAAGCAAAGCTCCCTGCTTAATGGTTAGCACTCACCGAATATGTCGTATTCATACTTAGTTTACTGTTTGATTTCTCTTGTTAATCCTATTAATGACAAGAATACAGAATGGATGAGTCTGTTTTCTTAAATGAAGCTATCCTATACCTGGAGTGGTCAATACATTATCATTGGTTCAAGAGCTGTTCTAATTTTAAGTTTTTGTGTCCCAATAACCTTACCCCAGTGAAGATCTGAGCTTGTTGATTGGTTTTCTTTGTCCGTATTTGATTCAAGATCTTCAACATTTCTGCTGCTGATTGAAACAGATACAGGTTAATAGTGAGTAAACATTTCTGCCCTCTACTGTGTGGAGAATTTGCTGAAATAACTCAGGTAATTCTAACCAGGAAAGTTGATTTTACATAATGACTTAGCATGAGGGACCAAACAAGTTGTCAAATATTGCAGTAAATTTATTTCTTATTGCAGACCAAGTGGTCCGGACCTGAATAATTACAGGACAATCACCCGTTGTTATCAATTTGATTTCCAAAAATCCTGTTTTTTCTATCATGTCATAAAAACAGTGGTGCCTACTGATCTTCAGGCACAATGGCCTAAAATCATAAATACTTGACAATGAGTTGGATAGCAAAACCATGTGATTCTTCATCTGCTATTGTCTATCAACAGCGTAACAAATGCCTCTTCACCAGTGAAATTTTAAGTCTGGTTGGCTTGTTTCTCTTATAGTACTGACATAGATGGACGCAAAGTTTGTATATGGGGTATGTTTTAGTACTAATGGATAGTGTTTTCGACACAAATCATCATAAGGGACCACCCATTCTTATGCATTTGATTCTATTAGATCCTTTGTATTTGTTCCATGCATAAGAAAATGGTAGGACGTATTGTTCTTGAACTTCTATGAGCTAAAGTAATTAATCATGTCAATTAGTTGGAAGGCAGGACCATGTGGTTATTGGTATGTCATTGTATTTCACTAATTCTTACTATCCATATACAAAATTGTGACATTCTTAATAGATGAGGTAAGAGTAGCCAAATATTTTGGATTAAGTTCAGGACCAAGCTAGACAGCACCTGGAAAGCTGGAACATCCCTCTTTCCTTTGTTCTATTGGTTCTAGTGATGGATATTCCATTTTATTTGAATAAATTCTTACCAGAAAACCATGTTAATGACAAGAAATGTCTAGGTGTATATTTAGACATGAATAGTCACTCTAGGATACATCTTTCTTTAGCAATTTGGTTGTGAGGCATGCTATGTTCCAACTTCAGGGAAAAGGCAGGGCCTGATGTCTTGATCTTAAATAGACTAAATTGAAAATTAGTTGGAAGGCAAAACCATGTTACTTCAGATGCTATTGTATTCCGTGGGTGCCCACGAAATAACTCTTTACCATCAATAGGATTCTCTGAGTTGCCATTTGGCCTATATAAACACATTCAAAGAGTGACTACTACCACAGCTCTCAGTTTAAAACATTCAAAGATTATTTTTCTGCTTTAGTAGTTCTTCTTTTACTTCTTTGCTCTTATACATTAAAACTAAAAGATCATGGCTATTCGTATAATCAAGAAGTCTTCCACAAGTGGAGATGTTCCAAAAGGCCATTTTGCTGTGTATGTTGGGGAGAAGCAAAAGAAGAGATTTCTAATCCCCGTATCGTTCTTGAGTCAACCTTTATTTCAAGACTTGCTTAGTCAAGCTGAGGAAGAATTTGGCTTTGATCATCCTATGGGTGGTGTCACAATTCCCTGTAGCGTGGATGTCTTCACTGATCTTACTTCTCGCTTGAGGAAGTGAGAAGGAAATTAACCAGTCAACAGGTTTTGCTTACACAATTTTGTAAAGCTGTAAAGTAGGGTTTCCTGAGTGTACAGTTCAGGAGTTAGAAGAAACAGTAATTTGAAGTTAGAATGAGGAGTGTTACCACCCTCTGACTAGGTAGACTAATGAATTTAGCTCCATATTGAATGGATGTTATTCCTCTATTCTCATGACTAAGGACACATTTTTCTACTTCAATAGAAATTGAAGTAATGAACTTTTTTACTTCTATGGTTCGAATCAATTCCATATATTGATGGAATAATTTATTGCAATATAATAATTCTTGCTCAACTTTCTTGGTTTTGTAAGTGCACCTGAATGCAATAAAAAAATATTTTGAAGATGTGATAAGAGCTACCATGTTTACCATTTGGCTTTCCAATTACCTGTGTAGCTTAGGAATGTGAAAACATCTTTTTCTTTCAAGCTAAGCTCCCTGCTTACTTGATAACACTCTCCGAATATGTGGTATTCATTTTTAGTTTACTGTTTGATTTCTGTTGTTAATCCTATTTATGGCAAGAACACAGAATGGATGAGTCTGTTTTCTTAAATGAAGCTATCCTACATTATCATTGGTTCAAGAGTTGTTATAATTTTAAGCTTTTCATGTGTCCCAATAATCTTACCCCTGATCCAGATCTGAGCTTGTTGATCGGTTTTGTTTGTTCGTATTTGATTCAAGATCTTCAACATATCCGCTGCTGATTGAAACAAATGTAACTTAATTAACTCTAAGATATAACATCTGTACTCACAATGGAAATTCGGAAACTATAGACATGGGGACAGGTTAATAGTGAGTAAACATTTCTGCCCTCTATTGTTTGGAAAATTTGCTGAAATAACTCCGGTAATCCTAATCAGGAAAGTTGATCCTATATAATGACCTTAGCATGAGGGACCAAACAAGTTGTCAGACATTGCAGTAAATTTATTTCTAATTGCAAAACAAGTGGTACGGACCTGAATAATTACAGGACAATCACCCGTTGTTATCAATTTGATTTCTAAAGATCCTGTGTTTTCTATCATGTCATAAAAATACTCGGGCCTACTGATCATCAGTCACAATGGCCTAAAATCATAAATACTTGACAATGAGTTGGATAGCAAAACCATGTGATACTTCATCTGCTATTGTCAATCAACAGTGCAACAAATGCCTCTTCACCACTGAAATTTGAGATATAATTCACTTGTTTTCTCTTATAGGAGTAGTTCTTACTTAAATTGACACAAAGTTTGTATATGGGGTATGTTTTTGTCCTAATGGATAGTGTTCCAGACACAAATCATCATAAGGGACCATACATTCGTATGCATTTGATTCTATAAAAAAGGTGTAGGACCTATTGTTCTTGAAATTATATGAGCTAAAGTAATTAATCATGTCAATTAGTTGGAAGGCAGGACCATGTGGTTATTGGTATGTCATTGTCTTTCACTGATGCCCAATCCAAATGGCTCTACACCACAAAATCATGATCTTTTACGACTTTCCATTTGCTTATATAAACATGTTTTGAGAAGTTTTACACCACCACAGCTCTCCACAAAACTAGAAAACTACTCAAAGCTTTCAGAATATTAGTATTTCTTCTTTTCATCGTTTGCTCATCTTAAAGAAAAAATCATGGCTATCCGTGTTCCTCGTATAATCAAGAAGTCCTCAACATCCCTTGATGTTCCCAAGGGCTATTTTGCTGTTTATGTTGGGGAGAAGCAGAGGAAGAGATTTGTAATTCCCATAGCATATTTGAGCCAGCCTTTATTTCAAGATTTGCTTAGTCAAGCTGAGGAAGAATTTGGCTTCAATCATCCTATGGGTGGTGTCACAATTCCCTGCTCAGAGGACATCTTCATTGGAATCACTTCTCAGTTTAGGATTTAAGAATATAGTTGAGATCTTTTTTTTAGGTCTCACAATTTTGTATATCATATTAGGAGATCGGCTCTTGTACAGTTGATTAGTTAGGATCTCAATGAGGCATAGCACCACAAACATTGGTTCTTTTGACTCGCAAAGACTAATTCAAAGAATACATATACCACATCCATTTTTCTCACTTAATGTGTCCAAACGAAATTTATCTTGAAATTCTGAATAATTCAGCTTCTACACGTTTCTATGATATAGTGTTGACACTACAAATAACTTTTACACTATGAGTGTATTTTAACTGGTTATATAGCAGATTATTTCGTTGATCTTGTATTTTCCAAGTTAGGATTACTATAGAAAGTCTCATGACTTTAACCTGATGGACAATGGTTTAAGTTTCTCTCTTTCTACTGCTTTATGTTCTTTCACTGGAATCTTTGCATTTGAATTAGGTTAGCAGATTCATACATGTGTTATTCCAAAAGTTCATGACTCGGAAACTGATAATTATTTCTTTCTGCAAATTTGTTGTTTGAAATATATGACAATGTTGAACCAGTAAGTTAGCTGCTCAAAGGGCACTTCAGTAATTCAGTTGTTCTTTTGAATTTTTTGAATTTCGTTTTCCCCAAGCTTATATATATAGGAAATCATTGGCATCACCTTTCATTTCTATGCTGATGACAAGCCAATGCGTCTTGAGAGTTGCTCTTCAGTTTACCCCTAGAATCATTAAACCACCAATGCTACGACCAAATATTTAAAACTTTTGTTTATTTTTGAATTGTCATGAACTTGCTTAAATCAATTACTTAGCTTAATGTTTGTTGTTGGTTCTGTTTTCTTTATGTAAACTGTTTAAATTTGATTCTTTTTTTCTGTAGAAGCCAGTTTAAATTTGATTCTTTTTAAACTGTTTAAATTTGATTCTCGAGTCATATGACCAAATTGCTTTCACTGAGCATTCATGTAACGACCCGACCGGTCGTTTTGAGCATTTGCATTCCGTTCAGCTGTTTGAAGTCTTTGAGTAGCTTAATATGACGTATTAGGACTTGTTTGAATAGTTGGTTTTGGTTTTCAGATGATTCGGGATCGATTCGGAAGAGGGATTCTCATGTTAGAAGCTTTGAGTTAGAGAGTTGACCAAGTTTGACTTTCGCGTATTTGACCCTAGATCGGAGTTTTGATGGTTCCGTTAGGTCCGAGTGGTAATTTTGGACTCGGACGTATGCCCGAATTTGCATTTGGATAATTCTAGGAGGTTTCAGCACGAATTGGCGGTCCGGATTTGGAATGTTCATAAGTTTGACCGAGAGTTGACTTTGATGATATCGGGTTTGGATTGTGGTTCCGGGAATTGGAATAGCTTTGTTATGTCATTTGGGACTTGTGTGCAAAATTTGTGTAACACCCCGTACATTCGAACTAGGTGTGGATATGTTAAATGGGTATTAATTTGATATTTTAGACATATGAAATCCTAATGGGATGAGTATGGGTGAAAATAGTTGTTTCAGAATCAAGATGGAGAGTGAGGTGCATAAGATTCGACAAAATCGACTAAGTTTACAAAAGGTCCGTTCTTCTAGCAGGAGGTAGTGAAAATGTGTAAGGAATTTGAGAAAACTCAAAAGATGAAAGTTGTTGCTCTTTGAAATAACTTTCCAACGATATATTGGGGAGCCCGAACGGATCTCTGTGTAAAACGTTATATGCGTTTTATAGATCAGTGCACAATATGCGCGCCCAGGTGTGCGGCCGCGCACTTGAGGCAGTGCTATTGCCATTTTGCGCAGTTAGGTGCACGGTCAGGCCTTCAGGTGCGCAGGGCGCGCACCTGGGGGGGAGGGGGTCATTTTTAAAGCCCTACTTCGTCCCCCACACCCCAAAACACAAAAACTTGCTCTAGAAAGGGAAGCTCTCAAGAACCTAACTCCTCAAAGGTAAGTTCTAATGGTGATTCTAAGTTGATTTCAATTCCCCAACACCTTATTAACATGGGTAAACCCTCCAAATCATTAGATATTCGATTGGGGCATCATTGTTGAGAGAAGAAACCCTAGAACTTGAATTCAAGAGGATTGAACTTCAAAAAGGTAATGTCTTTACCCTCTAATTGATTATACCATTGGATTAATGATTATAGACTCTATGTTCATGCGAAATGAGTTGATGGGTTTGATAGAAAAGCATGAAAAATTATAGGTTTGGTTTGTTGATTGTTGATTATTGGTCAAGGGTGTTGTTTATCTTTGGTGAAGAAGAATGATTTTGATTATAAGAAATTTGAGATTTTAGAATTTATCTAGGACCAAGAGAATGGCTTGTTGGTTGTAGAAACACCATTAATAAGGGCTATGAAACTTTATGCCACTAAGTGTTTGATAAAATGCCTAAGTGACCAAAACATGAGTATTGTTGCTAATTTGGAATCCCTTTGACTTGTATTGATACAGATTAAAGTTGAAAGGGTTGGCGAATGTTGTATTATGCTCAAGAGCAGAAAGTTAAGGTATGTGAGGCTAACTCTCTATGTTTGGGAATGTTAATAATTCTCCCTACACTATTTTTCTTTTACCACGTTACTAATTGCCTCAGAAATATAGTTAAGCCTAGTTCCTTGAATAGTTGCAGAACTTCTATTTTCTAGCTTCGTAACTTGTTCATGATTTTCATTCTGAACGTTGTGAAATCAGTGCGTAATCAATATAGACATGGGTTTGATGCCCATGAGTCTCAGTCTAGATTACTCAGCATATCATAAACAGTTGAAGTTTCACTTTTCATAATCAGTTCATGAATACACGTCTCAGTCTAGTTCATTTCAGCATTCGAGTATCATGTAACTCAATATGATTCAGTATTTCAGTATCATGTATTGCAGTATGATTCTCAGTTCCTAATTTTAAATCCCTGAATGTTGAACCCCTGAATTTGGGACTAAGGCCGCAGTTAATGCTTTATGTATCTTTGGGCCTGAGACCGCAGTTTATGCTTTATGCATCTTTGGGCTTGAGGCCGTAGTTATGTATACATATACTTGGGCCCGAGGCCACAGTTTGTGCATATATATATTGGGTCTAAGGCCGCAATTTATTTATTCAGATAAACAGGTAGTTCATCATTCAGAAGAGGGAGTATTCATATCCTTACTTCCTTTGTTAAGTTCAGTTATCAGTTATCAGTTCAGTTATCAGTTACTAGTTATCATTATCATTTTAGTTATCAGTTATTAGTTATCAGTTATCAGCTATCAGTTATCATTTTAGTTTCAGTTTCAATAGTTATCATTTCAGTTATCAATTATCAATTCTCAGTCATCAGCTTAGTTTCAGTTTTAGTATTTATAATTCTTTCTTTCAGTTGCTTTACATACCAGTGCAATTCAAATGTACTGACGTCCCTTTTTGCCCGGGGCCTGCATCTCACGATGCAGGTAATGATTTAAAGGTTGACGATCAGAGCGCTAGGATTCTCGTACCAGCTATTTGGTGATCCCTAGTTCTTTCGGGACATTATCATTATCTTACAGTCTTCAGTATTTTCAGACAGTCAGTGTTTTCAGTGCTTCATTAGAGGCTTCATAGACTAGAGTAATAGTTAGACAGAGTCACAAGCATTTAAGGTTAAGCAATATTGCGACATATATGTTTTAGACTTATATTAGTGATTCCGCATTTGATTTATATCATTTAGACTTTTAGTATATCAGCATGTGTTAGTTTATCTTTCGCATTCTGTATGTTATGATATCACATGTTGATTCAGCCAGCCAGTTGGTTCGCTCGGTCACATATAGTCAGGCACCGAGTGTCGTATTACGTCCAGGCCCAGGTTCGGGGCGTGACAATTTGAGTTCATTCCGAATTGATTTGATATGTTTCGACACGAGTTTTGGAAGTTAAAAGTTCAAAAGTTTATTGAGTTCGATTCGAGGTGTGATTCACAGTTTTGATGTTGTTATGGGTGATTTGAGGCCTCGAGTAGGTTCATGTTATGTTTTGAGACTTGTTGGTATGTTCGGACGGGTCCCGAGGGGCTCGGGTGAGTTACGGACGTGGTTCAGATTATTTTCGTCTCATGTTGCATTGCTGAAGCAGGCCTAGAGATGGTGTTTCCGCATCCGTAGAGGTTTGGACGCAGATGCGAGTCCGCAGCTGCGGACATAGTATCACAAAAGCGAAGGTAGCATGTTGTTGAACAGTCGCAGGTGCGGGGGGTTGGGCCGCATCTGCGGAGGCGCTGAAGCGAGGAGCTGGGGCGCAAAAGCGAGAAAGGGCGCAAGAGCGGATAGGTGCTCGCACCTGCGATGTCGCAGGAGCAAAAGTATTTTCGCAGGTGCGAGGGGTCGGATTTTAGTGACCTTCCGCAAAAGCGGGGTTTTGATAGCAAAAGCAACGCCGCAGAAGCGGCTATTGTTTCGCATATGCGAAAATGCCTCGGCAGAAGCTATATATCGAGGGCTTGATTATTTATTTCACATTTTGATTTGTGGAGCTCGGATTTGGACGATTTTGGAGGCGATTTTCATCACATGAATTGGGGTAAGTATTTTCTACTTGATTTTGATTATATTTCATGAATCTATCTTCGATTTTGGCATTTGGATTATGATTTTTAAAGAGAATTGGGGGTGGTTTTTGTCTAAATTTTTCTAAAGTGATTAATTGAGTTTTGAACATCGATTCGGAGTCAGAGTTGAATGAAATTAGTATGGTTGGACTCGTAATTGAATGTGTTGTCAGATTTTCTGAGTTTTATTGGATTTCGAAGTGCGGGCCCGAGTTTGACTTTTTGGTTGACTTTGAGCAAATGTGTAAAGATTCGATCTTTATCGATTGGGTTTATTTTCCATGGAATTATTTGATGATTTTGAGTTACTTTTGGCTAGTTTCAAGCCGTTTAGAGAATGATTTGAGCGGAATGATGTTTCTAGTGTATCGATTTGGCTTGTTTGCGATAAGTATCTTGCCTAACTTTTTTGGGAGAATTTATCCTACTAATTGCTATTACTTGCTGCATTCGGGGTGATACATATATGAGGTGACGAGCGTAAATGCATGTTCCAGGGTTAATCATGCTCGGGGGTAAATTATACGATTAATTGTGTCTTGTAGAATTATGTGACCTTCTTGTTTCATGTCTTCCTTGACTTTTAAATTACTATGAATATGAAATTAAATGCTAGAAACCATGATTTAGCTTATTATAATTCGATTAAATTATTGATGCACTAAAATCGATTGTTATTATACTTAATCATAAATACATTTCTACGACCGTTATTCTTGAGATCTTGGATTCTATACTGGAGTTGAAAATCATTTTTGAGACTCGTTGAAATAATTGAATAATAAGGTTCTTGAGGGTTATTGAATTGTTATTGGCTTGA